AACCGCTCTGCCAGGATGGCATTTTGGCATGTGAATTCGCCAAAAAGAGGAATTCTGCAACAGAAAGAGGAAAATGCAAGCAAGAATTTGAGAGGGAACAAGAACTATCGTGATGCTGCTATATGAGATGTATGCTAATGGAAAGACATCATGGTGGAGACTGAGAAATGTAATATGAAAGGATTGAGCAAATACTTTGATAATGGATTGTGAACATTTATTGGTCAGAAAAAAAAAGATAGAGAGAGAATGAAGGCTTGAACCTCAGCTGTTGAAATAATCCTGGAACCGGGGATGAAGCAGTAATTGGACTGTTAAGTATAGCAAGTTTCTGTATCTTGCTTGGATTTTTCAATGCCCATGTTAGACCATATGAACCTACAATAAATCCCTTTTAAATGAAAAGAGACCCACATGTCAGTTACACAAAACATTTGTAGATTCACCATAACATCTATCATTGTATCCAGAGACAGCATTGGTAACCGGAACTCGAACCTGAACTACAAGAAAGAAAGGAGATTTGACCCCCAACACGTCCAGTAATCGATCAAACTCCTCATGGTATTCTTTTTCTGCGAAATCAAGCGCCTTTATAGGACAAAGATCAACGCAGTAATTCAATTCTAAAAAATGATTAATGTTACATAGAGAACCTGTGTAGTTAAAGCCATATCCAGGCTGCGGCTGGTCACTGAATCCGAATCCTATCCAGTCAGGGGCAAAGCAATGAAATCCAGCATCTGACATCTACTACAAAGGGTTACAAAACAAAAATCCACGCAACGTCAACTACATCACTCAGTCTCATGAATCTGATTTCTGAACTGAGAAGTAATTCCAGACAGGACAAAAAAAGGAGCAGATTGTTATTTCCCCGCCTGTCTGACGAATGTAAAGTATTGATTAAAGTTGCAGATTGAATAAAGAGGATCATTGTGAAGGAATACTTTTTTTAGTTTCATTTCATGCAGTTGATTATCGCCCAAGTTTCACTTGAACAAGATTTAGAGCATCAGCTGAGACAAGTGACGCTTTAGAGTATTCAAGAGACAGTTTAGACCTGAGACATGACATTCCGATAACTGAAAGACTGAGTCGGAGCTCCATGGATGAAAACAACAGTTCCTCGGCGACTATCAGGTGATCCTGCAGAAGAAAAGATGATTAATCATCATAAAAATATGCAAGATTTAAAAAGAGAAGCTAATTAGATATGGAAAGGTCTATTTTTTTTTACCAGTTTCTCGCACAAACCATCTAAGCTTCCCAGATTTTCTGGTTGAACCATATTCCTTTCCCTTATCTTCAATCCTCTGCACCACAATACCACTGCAATCAATGTACCAAAATCCAAGAAAATCACTCAAATCAAATGGTAAAAATGCCTCATCAACAGTTCATTAAGTTGTCCCATTTCCATGTCAAACTTTGGAGCAATTTGTTTCAGCCCCGAAATGGAACAATTTGGTTAAATTAGAAACTTTCAACCTCCTCGCCAAAATTGATTAGTTCAACAGTCCACAGAAGCGACAGAATCCACGGATGAACTCACGTAGAGCATCTGACCGACGTTTCCGTCCTCCGCCGGAGAATCCGGAAGCTGAATGGCGCTCCGGCTCGACGGATTGTCGGTGACAAAGCCAAATGGATTGAAACCCGAAGCCTCATCGCCATCTCCTCCACCGCCGCCGCTTGGTTTCTCCGGCGTGGCGTTGACGACGGAGATCCGAGACATTCGCGGCGGCGGAATCAGTCTGGAGGAGAGAGAAGCAGAGGCAGAGGATTTGGCTCCGGCGATCGAAGAGAAGGAGTGGAGCAGAGGAAGCGGAGAGAGCAGAGTCGACGGCATCTTTTTTTTTTTGGTTATTTTTTTTTTATTTTGTGGAGTGTGTTTGAACTTAACGTACACCACAGTTTTCTGTTATATCTAACAAAAAATTCTTGTATAGATATATTTCTATTATGTAGTATATATTTTTGGTATGATTAAAAAAAATCATACATTCGGCTGAATTTATTTGTACACGGAATAATTTCAAAGTTTCAACCGAGTATTTATATAACTAATGGATATATATCATATTAAATATTTTGTGATACTGATACAAAATATACATGCGTTCTCTTTGAAGGGACGAAATATGAGGGTGAAATTTGTAAATTAATAAATTTAGGAGTGATTTCTGCAATTAAATGAAAATATGGGAAACAAAACGACATCGTTTGGAGGTCACGTGATTTGGACGTGTGAAGCGAAACCCTAAGAATACCGCGCGTGCCTGGAAATGCTAGAGTCACCAGTCGTGCCCCAAAAGCACCTTCACCGTCAGAGAGAGAGAGAGAGAAGCCAACTAAAACCGCCCGGCTCCATTACCCGCGCTGAGCCACCCATCCGGGTCGGATCCTCCATCCACGACCCGACCGGATCCACCCCGGTCCGATCAAGGCACGGAATTTCTCCGGCGGCGGAGAAAATATTCAATTACCACTGAAACATCGCCGACGACTCAGAAGAAGGAGGAGGGGGAGGAAGAGGAGCCGAGCTCCAATGGAAGGAATTGAGACAAGCGGTGGAGATGTACAGGTACACCAAATTCGACCTCTTTTTCTGTCGCTTTCTCGGGGAAATTTGTTCGATTCGCTCAAATTCTCGTCGTTTCAGACCCTAAGATCGAGTAGAATCTCCTTTTTTGGTCTTTGGTTGCGTGCCCGATGATTACATGTGTTTGCAAGTACCATTTCGTTGAATATACGTTTTGTTCATTGTGTACGTGAATCGTAGACCAAGGGTCCTGAGTTCAAAACCCTTTAGGTTAATACCGATATGAATTGCAGTTTCTCGAAAACAGGAACTCGAATGGTTGTTTTAGCGATCAAGTATGAGACCTGTCAAGATGTAACTTGGCGGTGTTTGGTGATGTTTCTACGGAATGGAAGATTCTTGTTAATTTTTTTTAGTTTAGTAGTGAGGATGTAAGATGATATGAATATGATTTCTATGTGCGGAATACGTTGAATTATTGGTTAACGTTCAGTAACATTTGAGATAGAGCTGCTACTCGTTAGTTCTATGTGACCTTTTATATCTATTTTTGGATTGAACAGGCAGCAGCCTATTTGCAGACGGATGAGAGCCGTTCAAGAAATGAACCAGCTTCAGACGGTGAACGTATATTACAGATGGGAGAAGCCCTCGGTGGCCGTGAGCAGGTGGTGGTGGACTGCGAATTTAACGACAGCCAGCAAAAGACAGAAGATGCAGCTACGGAATTTGGCAGTCAGAGCAGTTTGCATGCGGAAAATAAAGAATTTGATGCCCCGGCAGTCGGGATGGAGTTCGAATCTTATGATGATGCTTATAATTACTATAACTGCTACGCTAAGGAAGTTGGGTTTCGTGTGAGAGTGAAGAATTCATGGTTCAAACGGAACAGCAAAGAGAAGTACGGTGCCGTGCTGTGTTGCAGCAGTCAGGGCTTTAAGAGGATTAAAGATGTGAATCGTTTAAGGAAGGAAACCCGAACTGGTTGTCCTGCAATGATAAGAATGAGGCTGGTGGATTCTAAGAGGTGGAGAGTGCTTGAAGTTACCCTGGAACATAATCATTTGCTCGGTTGCAGGATATATAAATCTGTTAAGAAGATAGGTACCGGAATCAAGAGGAAGTCTGTCTCCAGCCCAGATTCAGAGGTTAAGACAATAAAGTTGTATCGGGCGCTCGTGATGGATGCAGGGGATAACGCGAATCAAAATTCTAGCCTGATACAATTTCAGGGTTTTTCCGGGTCACCCAATGTTCTGAATCTTCGAAGAGGGGATTCCACAGCCATTTATAACTACTTTTGCCGTATGCAATTGACCAATCCAAGCTTTTTTTACCTGATGGATGTAACTGATGAAGGGCAGCTTAGGAATGTATTCTGGGCCGATGCTTTCTCCCGAGCTTCTTGCAGTTACTTTGGGGACGTAATCTACATTGATAGTACGTATTTATCTGGAAAGTATGAGATTCCGCTGGTGACAATCGTCGGGATAAATCATCATGGGCAAACTACATTACTCGGCTGTGGTCTGCTTGCTGGAGAGACAACAGAGTCTTACCATTGGTTGCTCAAAACATGGTTCAGTCTAATGAGGTGTTCTCCTCAAACTATTGTCACAGATCGGTGCAAGCCTTTGGAGGCTGCCATCTCGGTCGTTTTCCCGAGATCTAATCATCGGTTTATTCTGTCGCACATAATGAGGAAAGTTCCCGAGAAATTGGGGGGTTTGCGTAATTATGATGTGTTGAGGAAGGCATTCGGGAAAGCAGTGTATGAAACCCTAAAAGTTGTTGAATTTGAAGCTGCTTGGGGGTTTATGGTTCAGCATTTCGGGGTTATCGACAATGAGTGGTTCCGTTCCTTGTACGAAGACAGAGCTAGATGGTCTCCGGTTTATCTGAAAGATGCGTTCTTTGCGGGATTAGCTACCGCTCGCCCGGGGGAAACGCTAAGCCCGTTTTTCGAGAAGTACATTCACAAGCAAACCCCGCTGAAAGAGTTTCTCGATAAATACGAGCTTGCCATTCAGAAGAAACGCAGGGAAGAAACTGTTGCTGACATAGAGTCGAGAAGCTCGAACCCCCAGCTTAGAACGAGGTGTTCTTACGAGATGCAGCTATCCAGAATCTACACGAGAGAAATGTTCAAGAGATTCCAAGGGGAGGTGGAGGAAATGTACTCGTGTTTCAGCACGACACAGTTGCACATCGACGGGCCCTTCATAATATTCCTCGTGAAAGAGCGGGTCTTGAGCGAATCCAACAGAAGGGAAATCCGAGATTTCGAGGTACTCTACGACAGATCAGCGGGAGAAGTACGGTGTATCTGCAACTGCTTCAACTTCTACGGATACTTATGCAGACACGCCTTGTGCGTACTGAACTTCAACGGGGTCGAGGAAATACCCGAGAAATACGTTCTACCGAGGTGGAGAAAAGACTATAAACGCGTCAACATCCCCGTTCCCGATCACGGCTCCTTCGGGGAGGGCATGGATAGGGTTCAGTGTTACGAACAGTTGTACAGAGGCGCTCTGCAAGTAGTTGAAGAAGGAGCCATTTCCATGGAACATTACAAAGCAGCACTGCAAATGCTTCAGGAGTCTTTGGGCAGAGTTCATAACGTAGAAGTACAAAAGCATGGTACAGAATACTAGCTAGTTTTTACAAGGAATTATGATATGTCGTCTGACTCTGCGTATATATAGATTCTTTTTTTTTTTTGATAAATTATTTGCCCTTTTCTTGTTGAAGGGTTAATGTTATTGAGGAGAGCAGTATAAACCATAATCCAAGGTTTCTGAAATTTAGAAATCGTTCTTTCCAATTTGAAGTTTGGACCTTTTTGTAATATACTATTGTATCGTTATTAAAGAATATTATTTAACGATACTTCTATTTCATTTTTCCTTAGAACAAGGTTTGTATGAAAGAAAAAAAAAACAAACTAAGGTCCACACAATCGTGATGTTTGTTTGCTGGGAAAAATTGTTACAAAAAATATACAAGTATCAAAATCAAATGGTTCATGAAATAAATAAAGCCACACCATTTTATTTTGGAAAAATCTCAAAAAAAATACTGAAATTTAACAATTTTGACAAAAAAATACTAAACTTTTGATTTTATCAAATAAAATAAGTTTTTAAAATTTATCATAAAACACTTTACTCTTGCACGATTGCCAAAATAAACAAATAAAATATCATATAATAAGAAAACACAAACCCGTCAAATTATTTTAATTAATTTTTTTGACAATTTTATATAGTTAATATATTTTTTGAATCATTTAAAAAATTTAATATATTTTTAACAATCACATAAAAAAATTTATTTTATTTTGAATTTTTAAAATGTTTTAAACTTATTTAAAAATTTAATATTTATTTGACAAAAAAAGTTTAATATTTTTTTAATCAAAATTATAAAATTTAATGTTTTTTGGATTTCTCCTTTTATTTTTACCCTCCTCAAAATCGTCGAGGGTTCCCAAAAGGAAAACAAAAAGGAAATTCTTGGCGCCTTTGTAGGTTTCTGATTTTCCCCCTCTTTCGATCATTTGAAGCAAAAATTCGATTTTCTCGGTTGAGTATCAAATCGATCTCTCGTGTTCTTCATCTATTTCGTGCCTCTACCAGCTTTTGATTTCTTTTCTACTGTTACACAGCTCGAATTTTCTTCGTTCTGGGAGGCGACGTCGACAACACTCGCATTTGGTTTAACTTTGGTGGAATTTGGTAAGAATTTGACGGATCCGTATTTCGCTGTCCTGTTGCGCTGATTCCGGTGAGTTCTCTTCTTAAACTTGATGTATTGAGTACTGAACTTGCTGAGTAGTTTCGATTGATGGAAGCTCGCAAATATGGCAAAAACTTGTTTGGTCTCTGTGGAAGTTTGGGGAAAATCGATTGGAGTCGGAGATTGTTTTTCTGTTTCATCTTCCAATGGATTTGATCTCTGTGGGTTTGTTTCCATGGAAAGACTGCGGAATTTGACGCACTTGCTTATTTACGTTTCTTGTTTCACCGAAAGTCTATATGTTCACACTCTAATCGGATCTTGACTTGGAAATATGGTTTAATCTCTCTGCTAAACGTTGCCCAGATAGTATATGAACATCTTCTACATCAAATTTGCAGCAGAGTGTCCTTACAAACTTAAACAAGCATGCATCTTTGTTATATATGACTACAATTTTTCATCTCTGCATCTTCCCCTTTCTGCAGGCATCTGGCTTTGCTAACACTTTCTGGGATGAAGTTCAAGGCATTTTTGACTGAAAGCGGTGTGAATCTCTTGGAGAGGAGATTCCTTCCGGCCTTCGACAAAATGGGTAAGACGTGCCATCTTTTCCTCACGAGAGAACACTTGTTCTTCCTCCACAACCTTCTCAATGGCGATGGGGTGCAATGCATAGCTCAGTTCCGCAAAGAAGTTCTCTTCGACGATTATCGTATATCCAGCCAGAATGAGGATCGAATCGCCTTTTCCTTGGACGTATCCCTTCTGTACCGAGCAGTGAGGAGCAGTGTCAGCATTTGTACTGAATTCAGTGGCGGGTCGGCTCCTAACAGATTGCAGATCAAACTGGTGAAGAAGCTGCCTCCTAATTGTACTCAGCCAATGCCATTTCTCACGTTTGAAACCAAGGGCTACAAATCCGCAGTTATTCAAGATGTGCCCATCTCGAAACCGTTATCTAGGTCTCAGGTCCTCGAGCTACAGACAGCTCTCGATTCAGCTCAAGATCTGCCCCCGACCCTTGTTCAAGTGCCGGACCCGAATCAGTTGCAGATCTATGTAGATCGAATGAAACATGTCGGGGACGTCCTAAATGTCTCGATAAGCAAGTATGGTGACCTGCAGGTGCAAATCTCGACGACCTTAATCAGGCTTGGCACTGAATTCCAAAAGCTTTCGGTCATTGGCGAGAAATCTCAGGCTCCAGTGGAGGATCGAAACTTGAGTGCACAGACTCGGTCCGAGAGGGCAATCGCGAGAGGAGATGCTCAGTCCGTGCAGGTGAGTGTAAAGCATTTTTCGAAGAGCCTTCAGTGTCACTTGGCCAAACCCGACAGTGCTTTCTATGGGATCGCTCCACAGGGCGCTTGCCTTACTGTTATTTTCCAGTTCTTCGTTCCCGGGACCCGTCAGACGGATAAATCCGTGAGTTTTCACTGCCGGCTTCCTGTCCTGGATCCAGGTTCAAACTGATATCTAATCTACCTTTTGCAGGTTACAAACTCTAAGGTCGCAACAAGATTTGTATGTTCTGGTTTTTATCTTTATGCATCTGTAAATCTCCATGATTACAGACAGATCTCAGGGCTTGTTTTTGTTGTGTCCTTGTCCTCTGAATCGATCAACCCAGATTGGCAATGGCCTCATTTGTCGGTTTTCCGGTTTGAGAGTGTAACTAAGCAAATTTCATTACCACATTTTCGACAATTTATTTGATTATGCTCTTTGTCTTGTATATCTCTAATTTTTTGTTGATTCTTCAGGCCTAATATTGTTTTTTTTTTTAAAAAAAAAAAACAAACCTGCAGTAGAATTTTCTTTTATACTGTACTGCTATTCTTTGTTATATACGACCAACCGCCCTAATTCGAAACGCAGCGTTTTATGACTCGGGGTGACGAGCGCGAGTCGTAAGAACCCGGGCCCGACAGACAGACCGACCCGAAGCTCGCACGAAAGGTTCGGTGGAGAAAGAGAGAGGATTCAACGGAGAACTCAATGAACCTCTACGCCCACGATCTCTCCATTCTCGATTTCAACTACGGACTCTCCGATTCCTTTGGCGAGCCTCTCTCTCACCGTTTTCTCTCTTCGGGTTCTCTCTTCCACGGCGATGACGACGATTATCGCCGGAATATTCCTTACCGTTGCGGCGGTGTCTATGGCGGAGAATCGGCCTCCGATCGGATAGTGTCTCTGGAGCATCGCCATGACGGGAAGTCTCCGTTGCCTCTGGGGATGGATTGGAGTGCTCCTCCTCGTAAATGGGTTACGTTTTTTCCCCTTCCATTTTTGCTCCTTTTTTCGACTTGAGCTGTTCAGTTTTTTCTTTCTGGACGGTTTCCATTCCCGATAGTGTTTTTTCATATACGATCGTCGACATTTGAACTCTGGATTTCGCTGCTGATAGTTCGCGTATACGATCGTCGACATTTGAATTCTGGAGAATATTGATCATGTCTTCGCTGAAAGAGCTTAGATTTTCTGGTTATTGTATGGACTTGATATTTATCCCTTCAACTTTCTTTCTCAGTGGTTTCAGGGCAAGACATTCATAATTCAAATCATAAATCCGTGTGCTTTTTTGTGTATCTTTTGTAGAGGAATGAACAATGCAATAGCCAATAGGTTTAGTTGCCCCGTTAGTAACCTCTGCTACTTGCACTGAGATTACTTATCTCATTCGTTAGCCCTCATGGCAGAAATATGAAGGTTCTTGACCATGTTTGTTTTCGCTTTGTAATTTTCACTACAACCTTAAAAAGATGGTGTTTTAGAACTTAAGTTGCACCTTTCATTGAGAACAGAGAAGGTTCGGTTTATCTTAGGGAGCTATCGAAGTTTTGAACTCATGCTTCTCTTATTTATCTGGAACTTTCTTATAGATTTTCTGTTCTTCTCTACCTGAGTTTGGATATTGATGCTCCTAACTGCTGAAAATTCATAGGAAGGACGGAGCACTGTTTGGCCACACGATCCTCGAACTGGTTGGAGTTACTGTGTTACTGTGCCTTCTTGGAATCATATTACGAGATCAAGTGTTTCTGATCCTGCCGTGGTGTGTATTATCTTCATTCATTGCTGTTTCTTTTATGCAGAGATGGTAGTATCATCATTTTGTTAAACGTTTTTATAGCCACATATGATGGTGAAGCATTGTCTCTTCTTCTTAAGATCAAATATTGTTTTGCTTGCTAATATGATACTGTGAGCTTCTTGTCGGTTCTAACAACCATCCTCGGCAGTTCTATAGAGTGCAAGTGGCAATACAATCTCCCGAAGGGATCACTGCTGCTAGGCTGATACTAAGAAGATTCAGTGACTTCTTGGAGTTATATTCTTCGGTGAGTATGTTTCTTCTGAATGGCCGTTTTGCTCCCTTCAGGCCTGCTCATTTTTTCGAAGTATTTTACTGATTACGCAATTGCTTTGGTTCATGACCTTTCATGTTCATTGTTCAACTGTTTTCACTTTGAAATTTCGTTTTCAGATTAAGAAAGGGTTTCCAAAGAAAAGATTACCTCAGGCACCTCCAAAGAAAATTCTAAGAATGAAAAGCCAAACACTTTTGGAGGAGGTAGACACCTGTTCTCTTTTATATACTGTTAGTGACAAGCAATAATATTCTCAAAATGTTTAGCTTATTTCAGAGGAGGTACTTCTTGGAAGATTGGATGAATACACTTTTGTCAGACATTGATATATCCAGAAGCGCTGCTGCAGCAACATTTCTTGAGCTAGAAGCTGCTGTGAGGTCTTGTATGTGTAATTTCTTTCTGCTTTTATTAAAAATAATGCTAATTTATTTTCACTAGAATCCTTCGGCGGTCTTTAGTGCTTTGGACCAATTTTCTGATTTGGCTTCTTTTTTCCACTTTGATCTTTTCAGATTTCAGTGATGGATATCAAGAAAACGAAGACACGAATCCTTACTTCTCCGGGGATGTTCTTTCATTTCTTCCAAACTCCAGTTCTGATGCCTCTTTAATTCCTGGTAGCTCATCAGTTGCATCAGATCATGTCAATGACACCGCTGATGAGGCATCTGACCTTGGAACACCAAATCGTGGCAAAGATAGTCACAAGGACCATATCTCAAACAATTCACTTTCTGGAGATAATGTGACCGACTGGCATGAATTAATAAAAAAATACGGACTTCTCGATAAGAATCCTTTTCAGGGGAATATAGAAAGGCTTTCCAGTTTTAAAATGGATAGAGTTTCTGAGACTGGGATTGCAAATGGAGAGGACTCTTCTAGTGTTGTCAAATGTCAGAGGTTGGATGGCAATGTAATGGGAATTCCAACCGAGGCCACTGAAAGTAACTCGACCCTTGCAAGAGACGGCGGGCCGTCAAATCCTGGGGTATCTGATTCAGTTAGCTCTCTGGACCTCCATGATAGGGCTGATGAAGACCTGCATGAACATGATGCAGTGGAGCATGCTGATTTTAAGTCTCGGAAGGATCTGGCTATCGCATTCCATTCCGAGGAGAGACAGAGATTGAACAGAGTTATTGATACGTTGAAGCAGAGACTAGAATCAGCAAAATCTGACATGGAAGATCTCATTGCAAGGCTAAATCAGGAAGATGCCGTTAGACAATTCATGTCAATGAAGGTTATACACGACTTCATCTGATTCTGCTTTCTTCCGTTATATATTTAATCTTCGATTGGCTTAAACCCATTGCTTTTTCGCCTCGTTCTGTGCGATATGTTTCGCCTTCTATGTGTGGGTTTCTGATAATGATGCTATACGGTGTTATATGACTTTGTATAGTGTATTTCATCTCACAGATCAAAGATTTGGAGGTGGAACTTGAAACAACTCGAGAGAGCTGCAAACAAGGAATGGAGCATGCAGTTTTGAGTGAAAAGGAAAGATTTACTCAAATGCAGTGGGATATGGAAGAACTCCGCAAGCAATACATGGAGATGGAACTGTTGTTTAACACCGTACAGGTCTGTGTTTCCCTTTTTTACTACCCGTCATGCATTCTTTTATTTTCGTTCAGTGATTTGACTCAATTTTCGAGTGCTTTGCAAGCAGGACGAGAAAGCTCAGCTTGAGACCATGAAACAATCTCTTGTTCAAGAAAATGAAATGTTACTACAACAGATGAATGCTGGAAGGGATAACCTCGATAATTTGCGCAAAGAACACGAAGAATTGGAAGTGAAATCGAAAGCAGATTTGAAGATCCTTGTCAAAGAGGTGAAATCTCTCCGAACCTCTCAGTCAGAATTGAAACAAGAGCTTAGCCGCTTGATGAAAGAAAAACTTGAGATGGAGGTAAACATATTCTGAGCTGAAATTTTATTGTTTTACCCACTCAATACAGATTTATATTTAGTCCTCGAATTTATAAATACGATTTTGCATATTGATTCCGAATAACTCCAATGAACCCACTATTTTTATTCGTACGTATACACAGAGAATCGTTGATCGGGAGAAAAACAGAGCAGAAAATGCGAAAACTGCAAACGAGAAGTTGCTGCATGAGTGTTATGTTCTACGGGATCGGCTTCAAGAAAGCAGTGTTAGCTTCCTCATCGATGAGAACAGCAAACTTATAGTGGATGCATCATATCAATCCGATGCGATCAATCAATTGGCAACATCTGATAATCGAATAGGTCTGCTACTGGCCGAGGTAGGGTGTGAAATCACATTGTTTGATGCAAATCCCATTGAAGAAGGAGAACTACTTTGATGTTTATGTTATGCATATGTAGAGAGATTTACAAAAGTTTCATTCTTGACCTAACTTATGTATATATACAGGCGCAGCTTCTTGCGGAAGAGAATGGTGAAACTGACATGGTGGGGGGGAGAAGAGACAGCAATGATGTGATGAGAAAGATGTTAACAGAGGTTCTGATTGATAACGCTGGATTGAGAAAGCAGATTACCTCTCTGCTTCGTTGTGTTTTGTCTGAGAATGAATTATCAGACAAAGGAGAAGAAGAAGAAGAGAATGTTCCTCTCGCGAGGACAGTTTTGAGCAAGATTCTTGAGAAATGATTTAAATTGTTTTGCGCATGTAAATGTGTTGACTGTGGTGTTTGTGTAGCTTATGAGATATGAAGCACCCCTTTGTTAATCCCGAAGAATTAATAAGTTTGATACAAGATTCATGGTACTAATGATTGTTCTCATCGAGTTTTTCATGTTTTGGACATTCGAGTTTTTTATGAAGCTGTGCAGGGGGTGGGCATGGACAAATGAGGGGTATTCTCCCCGCCCGTGAGTTAAGTCTCGAGTATTCGGCAGAACAAAAATGGATCCGTTCGTCAGCAAGAACCAAATTTTTAAGTTCGAGTTTGGGTTTAGTACCCAGAGCTCGAGTATCTGAAGCTCGGATCCGAACCTCACAAGGAACAAGACTAGATACTCTCACCGAGAAACCTAAGAGCTGGTCCGATACCCGACCAATACCCAACTCTAGCCGTATGAATATATTCAGTAGCCATTTCGTCCATGAGACGAGATGAAGAACACTGGTGCTTGGCTTTGGAAGTTTGGATATTGCACATGTAATGCTTGGGGACAAGGCACATCAATTTCTTAGAAGTTTCAACAAGTACTTTCTTGTAAGATTCAAAAACCAAGATAACAACCCTAATGGATAAATTAGCCAAATATGTTCAGAAGGAAACACCTTACAATCTCAAACCACCAGTCAGAAAGAAACACAAACTCCAAAACCCGAAAACACGAGAGAAAAAAAAAAAGCAGCAGCTTCCGAAGAATCAAGTGATGAACAATCAAGCAAATATGGACATGACAAATAACACAAAAGGCGAAAGAAATCTACTTTGAGTAGCTTTTTTTTAACCTATTCTTGTTGATGATGATCCTTCTCTTCCGAGATCACGTCAGAGTTTTCTTCTGCACCAATTCCATTGCCACCCTGCAAATTCTTGAAGATCGGGTGGGCTTCGAGCTCAGCCATTTTCTGTTTCGATTCACTCATCAGCATCTCCACTGCTTCAGACATAGTTGGCCTCTCCTCAGGCTTGTCCTGAGCACATACAAGCCCTACCAAGACTGTCTTTTTCAGTTCTTCCTCCACATACTTCCCGTTCAGTCTCGAGTCCACGATTTCACCAAACTTCCTTTCGCGAGCCAATGGAAGAACCCATTCGGCTATTGTCCGTTTCGTTGCTGGGTCTACCCTTTCTATGGGTCTCTTTCCGCTAACTAGCTCAAGCAACAGAATGCCAAAGCTGTATACATCGCCCTTCTCTGATTCTTTTCCCCATGCTAGACATTCTGGTGCAAGATACCCGAGATTGCCTTTGGTTTTGGCAATTCCATCTGTTGCGTCATCGGGAATTAGCTTACCGTACCCGAAATCTGTGACCCGAGCTTCAAAGTCAGAATCTAGCAACACGTTGCTGGCTCTCACATCGCCATGGATTATGTGTGGAGTTGCATGGTGGTGTAAGTAGCTGAGAAATGAGGGAAAAAAACACATGTTAGGATTCGAAAGACACTTCCTTTTGTGAATTAGTTGGTGATTACAAGAACTTACGCGATAGCCTGAGAAGAACTTAGCGCAATAGCCATCCTTCTTGTCCAATCGAGAAGGCACTCGGCTGAATGTTGGCCATGGAGATGTGAGACCAAGCTTAAATTTGGCATGTAATCATACACGATGAGTCGTTCTTGCCCTTCGGCACAGTAACCTCGTACACTCAACAGATTCTTGTGGCGAATACGGGCGAGGATCTCCACTTCCACCGCGAAATCCAACTCTTCTCTGTTGCTCCATGCTTTCAATCTCTTCACTGCAATCTGCAGAAGATTTAGTGATTCATGAAAAATCAAGATAAGTGTTTGCACAGAGAATCTTGCCTTTCCCCAGATGAACCGATATAAAATCGTTGTACAAGGCTCATTGATCAAATGACTCTAAGGCCACATATACTGTACACGAGGCCCATCATTCAGTTCACGGCATTCACAATGTCTCGTTAACAGTCAAAGCCAAGCAAACAAAGGATGAATTAAATACTACAAGATTAGGGCCAACTTAAGTTGCAACAACTATATTTTTACGCCACCGAGCTGAGTGATAAGTTATAACTTCAGTGAATCTGCCAAGTTTTACAAGGTCATCTACTACAGAAGCTGGGGCGATAATATAGAAGAACATCAATGCATTATTCTAATCATCTTTAAGCTAAAGAAATGAACATGGAAAGGAGTCCAATGAAAGGAAACATTCTCACAAGAAGAACCGACATCAGTGAAACGAAACAGAACTAAATGCAGCAACCCTTTTAAAAACAATTGTTTGCCTATAAGATCAAGTTATGCATCAAGTAAGGAATATCAGGTTCATTACTTGGGATCCATCCCATAGCTGACCCCAATACACACTGCCGAAACGGCCTTCACCAAGCTTGTTATCGTAATTAAAACTGTTTGTGGCTGCGTGAAGTTCCTTCAATGAGAATATCCTCCATGTTGGCTCTGTCTTCCCCTTCTTTTTTCTGTATATGACAAAGAAAATAAACAGATAGCAATTCAGTTTTCGATGCCTCTTCTTCTTCTTCACATTTCTTAGGTCATTGCTTGACTATAACTATTCAAGGATTCAGAAGCAAACATCCTAACTTAAAGAATGCAGAATATGTTAGTAACTAGTTTATCCTAAAACATCAAACTTTAGGGGAACTGTCCAATACACTATTAGTTCCTTCATGACAATAAGAACATTTTCCATAATCTACTACATTGTAGAATAATGAAATCTGGACTGACTTCATCAAGGGATTTGAGAATTTCAATCTTTATACCAGAGAAGACCCTAACTTTCATTTCAGAACATAAACCAGTCAGATGAAAAGAAAGGAAAACAATTGTGTTATTTCTCAACCAAAACCACTCAACCCAAAGAAACCAAACCACCAAAGTAAGAATTTGAGCGAAGAGTTCGAATCTAGTGATAATCAGATCTCCGTTGAAGCTAATCTAGACGATTTGGCTCCAAAAATTCAAACTTCTCAACTCTTGAAACCGCGTAAATGTCAGAAACCCTAGCCAAGGGAAACATCAGAATTCATGAAACAAAAACAGATTTTGGAGCAACCCAACAACATAGAACACCAAAAAAATCGTGTAAACCCATCAAAAGTGAAACACCATACCGATCAAATCCTTTTCCACAACAGAAGCTACTCAAAAGTTGCATCTTTGAACAAACCCACAAACAAAAATCTCTTATTTTTTGCTCTGTCTCTCTCTATGTTCTTCCTCGTTATTTGCAGAACGGACAGAACAGGGGAAAAAATATCAAACGTAACGCTTTTTTTTTTCGGGTGATGGCAAAAGGAAGCAGAGAAGCTCCTGTACTGATCTACGTTTCGAGAGAGAGAGAGAGAGAGAATCGTTTTTTTCTTTGCTTTCCTTTTTTTTTTCCTTGATGAAGAAGAGAAACAAGAGTCTTGGAGAATTCTTCCACAAGGCCCTTTACTCATTTGATTTCGTGTTTAGCTTTTTTCAATTTTTTTTTTAACAAAAAGAAAGTTCAAATTTAAAAAATACTAAAAAAAATTCAAAAGTTAGTGGGGCGTGGACCAACTTGTGTGTGTATTTTGTATACATAAAAGACAGAGGATAATATTTTATTAAAAAAATGATTTACATTTTTAGAATTAGAATTCGAAGTTTTCCATCAAAGGCCTGCCCTATGAGTCATGACAGCTCACCAAAATCTCTTAGTTTAAATACAGATTTTCTATTAATGTATGTTTTATTACTACAGGCTATATATAGAGATTGTATTGATGATTTTCCATAATATTATGCATTTTTTAAAGGAAAAGATAAGTAAAAAAATCAGATCTTGCACCAATTAAGTAAAAAATATATCTCAAATCTTTTTCACGTAAAAAAAAAATCATAACTTGTGGGAGTAAAAAGAAATATATACTCTCTATTCTGGTTTAACAATATAATATTTTTCCAATAATTATATATAATATAGAGAAAAAAGGAAGTAGTTGTTATTGACATTATGGTAAGTAAGTTTTGTTAGGATTAGACACTAACTTCAGTTTTAGTGGCATGAACTGTAATTATTTTTTAATTGTTAAATAATGCGGTGATGCAAAATTCCATTTCTAATGGGTCCAATTGTCATGTGCTGAGTAGTTGAAGTAGTATCATTACTTCACATTTGACTCTTGCAAAATTTGAAAAAAAAATACAAAAAAAATTATAATTTGATAGATTTAATTGAAAGAATGGTAAACGTTGTAAAGCATCCCAATATGAAGAATTATTTCGATTCAATTGTTCTTTAACACATATATATATATATACATATATATTTGTTATTAGTTGGTGTTTGGATTTTTTAATAAATTATATAATATTGCATTATAAAAAATGGATTCTTTGAACATTTGGGGCTTTTGAGAGGAAATCAAAATTTAAAATATGAAGACTCTCTAAAGCCCAATTGGCCAGAATCCATGTCTTACACAACTACCAAGAAACACAAGGGTTTTGGACCAAAGCCCAAGAACAAAGCCCACAGTGATGTGAGTTTCTGGCAAACCGGTTTCGGTTCGGTTTGGTACAATCTGTTTGGCTATTTTTGTTTTTTTTTTATGGTTTTCTTACCTTTTGAAACGAAAGCATACTGTATTTCTCAAATTGAAATAAAAAATTTGTTGTAATTGAGAAACGGAAAACTGAACCAAAGAGAATAATGCATGTTTGTCTTCCCTCTTTATTAAGCCTCGTCTCATCAATCCAAGTTTTGATGGTCTAGTGGTAAGAGAATATGCAAAACATGCTCTCATTCTAAGTTCAAATTCAAGCATGAAAAGGGGTATTCACATAGATTTCTTCGGTCCTCTATAAAATATAATCTGATCAAAGGCCCGGTGAACTTCCGACTTATAAAAAAAAATGCCTCGTCTCATACCGTGCAACAAAATTACATAGTAAGACTTTGACAAAGAAAAATCTAAAACTGTTTTTTATATAATTATATGATAACTTTAATTATTTCATATAATTTAATTGTTGATAGTTATCGCGAAACCTCTTATTTATTACGGCATATATAAAAATGATGATCTTTGGAGATGTTTTAATGTACAGTTTTGTACATCAATCTTTGATTAAATAGCGCAATAAACTAAAGCAAATAAATAAATAAATAGCGTGATAAAAAGAAAACTAAAGCAATAAATGGTTGTAAAAAAATTATTTTCTTGATTTGTCGTTAGTAATGATGAGTTTATATATTTGATAATGTATGATTAAAGGCACAAGGGAATGAATGGTGGACTAACCAGATGGGTCAAAAACGATTCTTATCTATTTAGATGTTTTCAAAGTCTTGATTTTTTTTATTCAAATAAAAAAACGCCACATAATAACAAATCTGTATATATAATATTTAATTAAAATGATTTGCCCTAGGATTATTTGTTGTACCTTTTTCCTTTTGCCCCTACACGTACCACTTAAATTCATTAAATTATTTAGTGTTTATTTTTGTATTCATTTATTTTAAATAGATGCACATAAAGCTATGAACCTTCCCTGCATTTATGCCTATTTTGACTTTAGCTTTTCAATGTTTTGGGCTTTAGGATTAAAAATAAAATTGAAGACAGTTATTGTACGTATAGTCCATGTCCATGTCCATGTCAAAGAAAAACAAAATCGAAGAAGTTTCTGATTGAAGGAGAGGTTTCAAACTCAAGAAAATTAATCGCTGTCGTTCAACAGAGGATTATAAAAACAAAATACTATTAATTTACTACATAGAATTCAAATCATATCCTTTTATCTCCCGTGCGAGTGATACCACCGTGATCTATCTTAATATCACACTAATAATACCGTTAAAATTAAATGTTGATCATATTAGTTATATTAATCGTATTATTCAAATTTTATATAATGATTATTGGTCATACTAGTCACCTTATAATAAAAAAACTAATTTTTTTCAAACGTATGATGATCCAAACTCTGTAAAATTTGGAATAAAATTCGGATGTTATTTTTTTCCAAACACAAAGTTCGGATGTTATTTATTTTTAAATGTGGACGTTAAAATATAAAATAAAAAAAATTTTGTTTGGCAATATATGATCTGTACTAGGAGAAATAAAACGTGACCAGAAAAAAAAAACAAATTTAAAAAAAAAAATATGGGAGAAGAGCATTTAAGTGGTCAGTCGGTCAGTGGTACTAGATTCGCCTCCAACAATAAATGAAAATTTTAAAAATAAAAATAAAAGCAAAGAGAGGTCCACAATAAACCTCGGTGTGTAGCGTCGTACTGAAACATTATCCCCATAGCTCGCTTTTTGAGTAAATTCCTATCTACACGCTTCTATTAAACATTAGACGCTCAACGGCCACAGAATATTTAAAAAAAAAAAAGGAAAACAAAACAAAACGCTCCGAAAATGAGACAACTGCAGAGAGTTTCTCTATAAATACCCCCAACGTCTCTCTCTCTCTCTCCTCTCTCTGAGTTCTCTCTCTCTCGAAGTCAATTCAACAGGTAAAACCGTATGCATACACCTTCTCTGTACGTATATTCGGGTACGTGTTTCGTACGAGCGCATGATTCGATTCGCTTGATTGTTTGGGAATTCCCGATCGATTGTTGTTCGATTTCGTTGCTAGATCTGCGTTTTGGGAAAATGGGTCCATTTGTCTTGTTTATTCGACGAATGTTTAAACCCTAATTCTTCTTCTGTATGTTTTTTTTTTTTGTGGTTTGAAGTGTTTCATGAGTGAAATTGGTACCGATCTGTTGTTGTGGGAGGTAGGAAATGTCGTCGCTCAGCCGGGAACTGGTTTTTTTGATACTCCAGTTTTTGGACGAAGAGAAATTCAAAGAGACTGTGCACAGGTAAGTTTTTGTTTTTGCCTTAAAATTTCTTGTTTATGTTCGGTTTCTGGGATTATAGTATATGGGCGAAGTGCATTTGTGTTGTTCAGTTTCCTTAAAGTTTCAATTTTCAGATTAAAGAAAGACATAATTTTTCCTCCGCTGTGTTGAATATAGTTTTGGGTAAGTGTTGTTTGTGTGTGCGCGTGTTTTGATAATTATGTATTTTTCTGCGACTTATATGGTTGTAGACTGGAGAAAGAGTCGGGATTTTTCTTCAACATGAGGTATTTCGAAGATTGTGTAACAGCAGGTGAATGGGACGAGGTAGAGAAGTACCTCGCTGGGTTCACCAAAGTTGATGATAATAGATACTCTATGAAAATATTTTTCGAGATTCGAAAGCAGAAGTACCTTGAAGCACTTGACAAGTAAGTAGTTGCTATTTCCATTGTCAATATTTAAATGTATTATTGATTTGAAGGGGGACTGTTTTGCCATGTTTCGGGTTTGAATGTTTTTCCTTTTGTTTCTCCTTTTGCTATTTTTTTTTTTGTTTCAGGAAAGATCATGCTAAGGCCGTTGAGATACTTGTGAAGGAGCTAAAAGTGTTCTCAACATTTAACGAAGAGCTGTTTAAGGAGATCACGATGCTTTTAACCTTATCGAACTTCAGGTAGCATCTGAATTTTCTTAGATCTATATTTTTTTAACCGAAATATGCAAATAAAGATCAGATTTGATGGAAAAACTTGATGCTTCCTGTTAAATGGATTATACACTATTTGGTTTGGTGGTGTATAAAATTTGGTATAACATGTTGCATTGTGCGGCATATATAAGAAATCAATTTCTCATGATTTAATGAGGTATTTTTTTCGGGTTTTTTTTTCATTTCAAGGGAGAATGAGCAACTCTCGAAGTATGGAGATACTAAGTCGGCAAGGGCAATAATGTTGGGTGAACTTAAGAAATTGATCGAAGCCAATCCTCTCTTCCGGGATAAACTCCAATTTCCCAGTTTAAAGAACTCGAGACTGAGGACCTTAATTAATCAAAGGTGAGTTTGAAGTACTGTACTATCTTTTGTCCTCCTATTTTCTTGTTTCTTTTTTCTCTTGGTGGATCTACTAACTGATTATATGTTTGCTAAATTGTAGTTTGAATTGGCAACATCAACTTTGCAAGCACCCAAGACCTAATCCTGATATAAAAACACTCTTTGTGGACCATACCTGTGGGCCTCCAAATGGTGCACGTGCTCCTTCTCCTGCAACTAATCCATTGATGAATTCTGTCCCAAAAGTTGGTGGCTTCCTTCCGCTTGGTGCTCATGGTGTAAGTCCATAGATGATTAAAGTCACTTGTTACTTGTGTTTGATAAAGGTTTAAACACAGGGATTTAACTTCTTAGTCCATATCCTTATCTTTTGGTTCAGCCATTTCAGCCAACACCAGCTACTCTTACGACATCTCTTGCAGGATGGATGCCTAATCCATCTGCTGTTTCACACCAAAGTGTTTCTGCTGGCCCTATTAGCTTAGGTGCCCCGAACAGTGCAGGTAACGGATTCTGGACTACTGTTCTGTACTGCATGAGTTATGTGCATAACACAATTTTGTTGGAGTTTAGATTAGGGGAAATCCACGTTACTTAGTTCTCCCAATCATATTAATTTTTTATTGTTTTTTATTGGTTCCACCTTTGGTTTTTCTTTTATCTGATCATGTGGAGTGCTGGTTATGGTGGACTTAGGTGTTCATCTTTTTAAACTATGGTGAATACTCTTTCTTAGGGATGGTACCATTTATCCTCGTGGTTCACATGTGTCTTTATGAGTGTTATCCAATTCTATTTCATGTTGTATTAAGATGGTTAGATGACCAGCAGTTTGGTGACTGTTGTTTTTTGCTTGTGCTCACTGGACTTCATTAAGCACATGGAAAGTATACACTAAGGTCCATTTGCAAGTTCTCTGCATTTGTAGTGGCAGGAATACATTTATGATACTGAATAGAGAAAGGCAAATAGATTGGGCTCATATTGTTCTCTGGTGAGAGCGGAGAACACTAAAGTCAAGCATCCAACGTTGGATTTGCTTCGTTGTTACCTTCAGGAGATAACCATTTATAGTTTCCAGTGATGTTCTTATCATAATATGAATTTGCCATTTTTACGCTTGTAGCATCTATGCTAAAGCGTCCTAGGACTCCTCCAACAAATAACCTGGCCTTGGACTATCAGACAGCAGATTCTGAAAGCGTATTGAAGAGGCCTAGACCTTTTGGAATATCGGATGAGGTATTATTAAAAAAATTTGAACTTCTTGTTATTCAATAATTAAGCAAGTTGGCAGTCCTTTTAAGCTCTAATAATCTTCTTTAATCTGTTGGAAATAATAGTGTTGTTTGACCATTTTGCAGGTTAATAACCTTCCAGTTAATGTTTTGCCAGTTGCATATCCAGGGCAGAGCCATACACATGCACCTTATTCTAACGACGATTTGCCCAAGAACGTTAGCAGGGTTTTGAGTCAGGGTTCTGCTGTTAAGAGCATGGATTTTCATCCACTACATCAAACTGTACTTCTTGGTTTGTATTCTCTATTCAAACTTTTTCTTTCTTTTATTTTATTCTGTCAACACCAGAATTACTTGCAAAACTTGGATCCAACTGCATACATTCATCCCGACACCCATTCTATATCATCTGCTGACTGTTTCTTTGTTCATTTTTTCCTGTTTAATTTGTTTTTAGTTGGTACAAACCTTGGTGATATTGCGATATGGGAGGTGGGTAGCAGGGAGAGGCTTATTTCCAGAAGTTTTAAAGTTTGGGATCTTAATGCTTGCACTATGATACTTCAGGTATGGGTCATGGCTTTGATTTGTTCTTAATGTATATTGGCGATAAAAAAGATGAAACAAATGGAAAAAGTCACGAGATCTTTTTTCACCCCACGAAACTACAGAGAAGCTTCTCTTACTAGTGAGAAACTTTTGAAGAGTAATAGCTAAACATCTGAAGTAACTCCTCGATTCTTTCACTAAAGCTATATACTTTATTTACCGAATACTGTTCTCGGAAGTAAGAAACATAAGTTAAGATGAATAAGAAACGAAAATTAGGCAACCTTATTTGTGTCTCGCTTTTTTCAACTCTTTCCTCTCAGTCAGAATTGAAACAAGAGCTTAGCCGCTTGATGAAAGAAAAACTTGAGATGGAGGTAAACATATTCTGAGCTGAAATTTTATTGTTTTACCCACTCAATACAGATTTATATTTAGTCCTCGAATTTATAAATACGATTTTGCATATTGATTCCGAATAACTCCAATGAACCCACTATTTTTATTCGTACGTATACACAGAGAATCGTTGATCGGGAGAAAAACAGAGCAGAAAATGCGAAAACTGCAAACGAGAAGTTGCTGCATGAGTGTTATGTTCTACGGGATGCTTAGACATGTCTATCTCGATAAATATTCTGAAGATATATTTTCCTTTTTGCAACTTCTTGTCTGACCTTCATTCTCATGCATTAGGCATCACTTGCGAACGAATATACTGCAGCAGTAAACCGAGTTGTTTGGAGTCCTGATGGTGCCCTTCTGGGTAAGTTGTTCTGTGATATGATGAGCATATTTTAGGTTCATGGTGAAGAATTTGTTGCCCTCCTGGGTGTGCATGCCTTCTTTTGTATGATGATGTTGTAAATTATAGGAAGAGAGTGCACCGTGAAAAACTCAAAATGTATGTTCCTATTTCAGGTGTTGCATATTCCAAGCATATTGTGCATATCTATTCGTATCACGGAAGTGATGATTTGAGAAATCATTTAGAGGTTAGTGATTCTCTTGCTATTGCATTGGATGCCATCTTGGGCATTTATCTGTTTCCTTTAGTTTTCAAGAATCCGAAACTCAAAAGATTTTTCTCTCAGCTAAGACTAATTTTTAATTAGAGATGTTTGGCCCTCTGGTCTCTTGATTCTGACAAGTGACAAATGTTGTTCTATTCGTTTTAATACATCAGTAATGTTCTCAGGTCTGAAATTGATGAGTTCCTGACAGACTGAGGTTTGTTATTTATTATTGTAGATTGATGCCCATACTGGTAATGTCAATGATATTGCTTTCTCCCAGCCAAACAAGCAATTGTGTGCATTGACTTGTGGAGATGACAAGACAATCAAGGTTTGCATTTTGGCCTATATCTCATAATGGGGTCTAAGCTTGTCCACTTAATTACATATTATGTATTCAGGTTTGGGATGCCGTTACTGGAAATAAATTGTACACATTTGAAGGTCATGAGGCACCTGTTTATTCTGTTTGCCCGCACCAGAAGGAGAATATTCAGGTAGTATTGTGCATAGACTACTTCATATGCAACACATTTATCATAAAGGATAATTTCAAAGACATCTTTTTTTTTTGTATGTATTTCAGATGCATGCACTTGTACAAATAGAGACGTGCATATGCATGCAGCAAATTCTTTTCATTTTTAGCTTGAGTTTCCGAGGTTATTCTCTCTCTGTGAGAATCTTGTGTTGCTCTACTGTATAGTGATTTCGGAAGTTTTAGGTTTCCTGCTTAGCATCTCTTGTCCGTGTGAGTTTCAATATTTGGTCCTTAAGATTAAGGATTTACATTTTTGTTTGTGTCAGTTCATATTTTCAACTGCTGTTGATGGCAAAATAAAGGCTTGGCTATATGACAACATGGGTTCTAGAGTTGATTATGATGCACCAGGTCAATCTTGCACAATGATGGCTTATTGTGCTGATGGAACAAGGTAAGGAATGATTCTTTGATGTCAAATTAGTTTGTTTTGGTACACGCTCACCTTTTTGCTCATGCCTCCTTTATCTTCCCGTTTACTTCAGATTATTCTCATGCGGTACTAGTAAAGAGGGAGAGTCGTTTCTCGTAGAATGGAATGAAAGTGAGGGAGCCGTCAAGCGTACCTACCATGGACTAGGGAAACGATCTGTGGGGGTTGTTCAGTTCGATACCACTAAGAATAAGTTTTTGGCAGCTGGTGATGAATTCCAAGTTAAATTTTGGGATATGGATAGTCTCAACCCCTTGACTACAACAAATGCAGAAGGGGGATTACCGGTAATGGGCCACTTTTGATCTATGATTGCTGTTCTAATGAACCTTTCAGTTAAACAGTTGCTAACTGAATATCATCAGTCATCTCCTTGTTTAAGGTTCAACAAAGAAGGAACTCTGCTGGCTGTCTCAACCACTGAAAATGGAATTAAAATACTAGCAAACGCCGAAGGTGCTAGGCTTCTGCGCTCCACTGAGGGTCGTGCCCTTGAAGCCTCTAGAGTTGCTCATGGTTCCGCAAAGGTATACTTGCTATCTTATTTTATTTATTTGGGTAAATCTGAGTAGTGAGTACCACTACCACTACAGAAGAACATTGAGTGCATGATTTTAATCTTAGGGGTCTATCATTGGCACATTTGGTGCACCGGGTTCAACCAGTGGGATGAATCTACCAGTTGCTGAAAGAAGTGGACCAGGGGCATCTGTTACTGCATTGGTAATCCTGCCTATTAAATGTTAGGATTTGTTGTTGAATTAGATATTTACTGTTCAAGTCAGAGTTCAGATTGTTAAGCACATTGGCCTACTCTGTATTATAAATTGCATATTTTGATTTCCTAATGGAAGTATCTAAACCTACAAGAATTGCATGACTATATACTGATGCCCCTATGGCACAATTTTGCAATTTTGATGAGTTTTGGAAGTCACTTGTAATCTTGTGGATTTTAGAACGGAGATAGCTGCAATCTGCCTGATGTGAAACCAAGAGTCCCTGATGAAGTAGAGAAATCAAAGATCTGGAAGCTGATCGAGATCAATGAACAAGCCCACCTTCGTACCTTGCGGCTTCCTGACAGTTTGCTACCAGCAAGGGTAAGTTTGGTCACTTGCTACAAACTGGAGCTGCAACCGTTCGTTTTTTTTATTACATTTTTTCCATGATCTACATTTTGTGGTTCAGTGGAAATATATTCATGCTGTTAGTTCAAATATCTTGGAGCGGAATGTTATCTTGAGATTTTTTGGGTACTTATATTTATCTTCCTTTTTAGCAGGAGAAACATAATTTGCACTCTCTTTCACTCTTTTGAGATGGGGAGAATGAACTCCACATAAATGCAGGTGGACAGCAAAGGAGAAGATCTTGAAACACCCAATAAGAGCATGCCAAGTCAGCAAGTGAGGATCTTTTGTCCTAACAAAATACAAAACAGAACCTTATCTCGAAACCTCATCCGTCTCCTTCTCTTTCCTCCACTCGATTTCCTCCCTCCTCTCTTATCACCAGAGAGAAGAAAGAGATAAGCAACTTCTGGAAAGAAAAAAAAAGCTTCGAGCAAGATCAGTGAACAAGCGACATGTCTATCCTCTTTGTCAATGCAGGTTGTTAAATTGATATATACGAATTCTGGAGGTGCCATATTGGCACTAGCAGAAAATGCTGTTCATAAATTATGGAAATGGCAAAAAAATGAGCGGAATCTCTCAGGAAAGGTAAAACTATATATGCTTTATGATTTCACACCTATCACTGATTTTGAATATTCTAATTGTCTCTTATCATATGGAGCTTTATATTTAGGCAACCAGCAGTGTCCCACCTCATCTATGGCAGCCATCGAGTGGATTATTAATGACAAATGACACACGCGATGCAAACAAAGAGGATGTAGTTCCATGCTTTGCACTCTCTAAGAATGATTCTTATGTCATGTCGACTTCGGGAGGAAAGATCTCCTTGTTCAACATGATGACATTCAAGGTCAAATCTCCATGTCTGAACTAACACTGACTTGGTCTGTTTTGCTTGCCATATTTATATTTACATTCCTTTTTATATCTTTTACATGTAGACAATGACCACATTTATGGCTCCTCCTCCTGCGGCAACTTCTCTTGCATTCCATCCCCAAGACAATAACATTATTGCAATAGGAATGGATGATTCATCAATTCAAATCTACAATGTTAGAGTCGATGAGGTATCATGGCTTTATTAAACCTGTTATGTACCATAGAAAGAGCATATGTTAATAATAGCAGCTTTTGTATGATATGCATGCATGCAGGTCAAGAGTAAACTGAAGGGTCATCAGAAGAAAGTGACTGGTCTAGCCTTCTCAAACCTTCTAAACATTCTTGTATCATCTGGTGCTGATTCTCAGGTGAGGTGTTATGGCCCTTGATGAAATAGTCACCATTATTTGCATCATCTATAAGCATCCAAATGATATTCTTTCATGAATTGATGGTGAAATAATTGATTTTTCTCTTTAAGCTATGCGTGTGGAGCATGGATGGGTGGGAAAAGCAAACTAGCAAACAGATACAGATTCCAAGCGGGCACACGCCAAATCCCCTGGCTCATACCCGTGTTCAGTTTCATCAAGATCAGACTCACGTTCTGGTTGTCCATGCCAGTCAGTTAGCCATATACGAGACTCCCAAGCTGGAATGTGTAAAGCAGGTAGGTTTCGCTATTTTATAATGGAGTCATGTTAAAGAATTAACATCGCCATTTTACTCGATCCCCGTTAACCCATGACTGCTGATAGTTTGAACTTTGATCGTTTTTTTTTTGTTTGTGTAAATTCAGTGGATTCCACGGGAATCAAGTGGTTCGATCACGGATGCTGTGTACTCGTGTGATAGCCAGTTGATCTATGCAGCTTTTGATGATGGAAGCGTGAATATCTTGACCGCAACAACATTGCAACTGAAGTGTCGTATTGGCCCCAATGCGTATTTGCCTTCAAACCCGAGGTACAAAATTCATGTCCCGAACCAAAACCAATTCAAACGGTAATTACCCCCATTTCCGCAACTCGTCCCTAAACAAATGTCGTTGTAAACAGTTCCAGAGTGTATCCAGCCGCCATTTCAGCCCACCCGTCTGAACCAAACCAATTCGCCGTGGGGCTCACAGACGGTGGGGTCCACGTCCTCGAGCCGCCAGTGGGTTTGGAAGGAAAATGGGGCATGTCTCCGCCACCAAAAGATGGCGCAGGACCCAGTGGCTCCTCCGCGGCGGCGGCAGGGTCCGATCAAACGCCGAGGTAACCGTTTTTTATGTGCTAGTTCTCTCTCTGATTCATCGTATCATGTTAGCTATGGGGAGCTGCAATTATTGTAGGAAATTTGTATACTTGAATGATTTGAGTAGACGTGTCATTTGTAGTGCTTGAAAAAGCTTTTAAGAAAAAGTAGTTTCCATCCAAAAACAGCTTCTTTAGCATTTGGGTTTGTACTTTGTAGATATATTGACAAGATTAGAAAAATGTTGATATGATAGATGAGATGATGAAATGTTTTATTTTCCTGATATTTTTTGGATTCTTAACAGTCAGCCCAATTTTCTTGTTTTCATGGTTCTGTACCACAATGTTTGATTACTCACCCTATTGTATATGGAAAACAGAGCCACCAGATTTTGGGTTATCTGATGTCGAATCTGAATTTCTCTAGTTTCCAGATTCCGAATCAGTCACCCTATTTAAATCAATCAGGTACCTAAATTTCGGACATGTGCGAGTTTCGTAGTCCTACATTTGAGCCCGACTCAGAAAATCAAGTTCTTGCCACCGTTAAACCCCAATTTGCTAATCGGAGCTGACGTCTAAAAAAATACAGGTTTGTTTTTGGTGAGATGGGGAGAATGAACTCCACATAAATGCAGGTGGACAGCAAAGGAGAAGATCTTGAAACACCCAATAAGAGCATGCCAAGTCAGCAAGTGAGGATCTTTTGTCCTAACAAAATACAAAACAGAACCTTATCTCGAAACCTCATCCGTCTCCTTCTCTTTCCTCCACTCGATTTCCTCCCTCCTCTCTTATCACCAGAGAGAAGAAAGAGATAAGCAACTTCTGGAAAGAAAAAAAAAGCTTCGAGCAAGATCAGTGAACAAGCGACATGTCTTGCTCTAATCTGACAATGTGGGTTTCATCAAAACCCTCCCTTCCCGATTCATCTGCCTTGTCCTTCCGCTCAGTTCTCAGCCCACTTCACCATCATCTCCCTAATTACAGCTCCAACTCCAACGTCTCTTCCAGATCCTCGTCTGTGACGCCGATCCAATGCGGTCTCCGGGAGCTCAGAGACCGTATCGATTCTGTGAAGAACACCCAGAAGATCACGGAAGCCATGAAGCTCGTCGCCGCTGCGAAAGTCAGGAGAGCTCAGGAAGCTGTCGTTAATGGAAGACCCTTCTCCGAAACCCTAGTCGAGGTTCTTTACAACATCAACGAGCAGCTTCAGACGGATGACATCGATGTCCCTCTCACCAAAATCAGACCCGTCAAGAAAGTTGCTTTGGTTGTCGTCACCGGGGATCGCGGCCTGTGCGGTGGATACAACAATGCAATCATCAAGAAAGCTGAAGCAAGAATCGCTGAGCTCAAGGGTCTGGGCCTTGACTACACGGTCATCAGCGTTGGGAAGAAGGGGAATGCATATTTCATCCGAAGACCGTACATTCCAGTCGACAAGTTCCTCGAAGCAGGTAATCTCCCGACAGCAAAAGAAGCACAGGCCATAGCCGACGATGTCTTTTCCCTGTTTGTGAGCGAGGAAGTGGACAAAGTCGAGCTTCTCTACACAAAGTTCGTCTCTTTGGTGAAATCCGACCCAGTGATCCACACTTTGCTTCCACTCTCGCCGAAGGGAGAGATCTGCGACATCAACGGAAACTGCGTGGACGCTGCAGAGGACGAGCTGTTCCGGCTAACGACCAAGGAAGGGAAGTTGACGGTGGAAAGAGAGACCATTCGGACAGCAACTGTGGATTTCTCACCGATCTTGCAGTTCGAGCAAGACCCAGTTCAGATCCTCGATGCTCTACTGCCTCTCTACCTCAACAGCCAGATCTTGAGGGCTTTGCAGGAATCTTTGGCAAGTGAGCTTGCTGCCAGAATGAGCGCCATGAGCAGTGCCTCCGACAATGCCGTGGAGCTCAAGAAGACGCTTTCCACCGTCTACAACAGGCAGCGTCAAGCCAAGATCACCGGCGAGATCCTCGAAATCGTCGCCGGAGCAAATGCCTTGGTCTGATCTATATATACATATATATATGTATTGATATATTGATGGCCTCGTTTTGTAGGTTATACAAAAAAAAAAGTGGAATTCTAATTATGAGTCTCTTTGCTCATATCGTTTGTATAATAAGACTCACACTCTCGTTTGGTTGGCATTATATAAAAAATATCCACCATTTGCTATTTTGAATTCAAAACATATCTTTCTTCGACTATGATTCTGTCATCTATGAGATCCGAAATATAATTTGTCACATTAATAATAATATTAAATTTTTAATATTTTTATTAAATAATTAATGAGATGTATGAATATAATGAATGAATATGATCAAATTTAATGTTATGATCAATATGATCAAGATTATATTTCAGATTACAGTATCACAGTTGAAAAAGGGTAGGTCTTGAAATCAAAATAGTAAATGGAAAATATTTTTAATAATGCCCGGTTTAGTACTCGTTTTCATGAATTTGCGACCAACTATGATGAACTTTCATATTATGGAAAAAAAACACATTCTAAGATCATACCCTATATATATATATATATATATAAACTTCTTCCAATTCCATATATATATGATTTTACTTAGCTTCAACTTAATTTTTTTTTTCAGTTATGTCAATAAACTGAGATCTGTATGTTTGGAAATACAGTAGAGAAAAGGAACTCTCTCTGTTTCTTATTCAAGCCCATGAAAGATACATACATTTATACAGAAGCAAATAAACCAACTATCCTATATAAAAGGAATAAGATATATACGAATATAACCAATATAGCAGATCAAAATCTGGTAGTTTAGATACTATATTGTAACAAGTTACGAGGATTTAACCCATTTAGACTCTTTTTGGTCTCATAAGACCAGAGGCTTCGACTTAATTTAACCACATTCATGTTGGATTTTATGTTACACAACCTTAGTCCTTGGTGTGATAAGTCGTCATCATCATCAGTCCAAAGCCATCCTTCGCTTTTGAGCTTCCGTGGGTAACTTAACGTCAGTGGCCAACCCGATAACTTGGAGAAATCTTATGATGTACCAAGTAACGTCCAGCTGCCACCACTCGAGTCCTTGCCTTGCCGAGAATTCAAACGCGTGATGGTTGTTGTGCCAGCCTTCGCCCAACGCTATCACCGCCACCCACCTGAATGTTTCGGGATAAGAACGAGTTACATTTTCATGGACTCCGAACCTATATATATATATATATATATATGTATATATCATATCGGTCGGAACCATAGAATAAATACACACCAGTTGTTTCTCGACAAATCGTTGGTTTTCCACACTTGATTCCCCCAAACGTGGGAAGCTGAATTCACTAGGAAAGTGCCGTGGAATGTAAACACTTTCCTCACACACTGCGAGAAAAAGTATGCACGCAGAGGAAAATCTCAATGCAAACTCAAACCCAAAACCGGCATAAGACAAAAGAGTGTTTTCGTCTGTCACTTTGACAAAATCTCCAATACCCACATGGGCGTAGAGTTCGAACCTTAGATATGTCTAAATCACGAGGGAGGAAAACCGAATTTAAGAAAGTGAATTTCTTACAACCCCCCAGATGAAGAACGGCAGGCCGCCCCACATGTAAAGGAGAAGGGCGAGGGCAACGTTGCTCCAAATCCATGTCCTTTGAAGGATCCTATAGAATGGTTGTTTCACCAAGTCCTCTACGTTACTCCTGCCTCCACACTGCGTGCATTTCGTCAACTCGACGATTTCATCGCAACTCCGTATCCGATAATTAATAAAGTTCTTAGCATATATATATATACACACTCAATACCATTGTTTTGGCATGAAGAATGTGAACCCGAGAATGATTTCCTTAGCATATACACGATAACATTCATGTAGCATGGACTGTGAACCCAAGAACGAAGTTCTTCGCATACCCAATAACATTTGATGTGGCATAAAACGTGAACAAAAGAGCTTTACATATATATATATATATATGTATAGCGGTATACCTTCTCGGCGATATAATCAGTATCAAAGATCCAGAAGATGTGGCTGAACCAAAACCCGTCTTTGGGACTATGAGGGTCACGTGCTGTATCACAGTACTGATGGTGGTATCTATGATAGCTCACCCATTCTATCGGATCTCCCTATGCACGGGAAAAAAAACATTTCATAACTTTAACTTAGATTTGCATGTGGTGTATTTTTCATAATAATATTTAAAATGAAACCAATAAATATTCCTTTCAAAACATTTTAATTCGACTCTTGCAATTGGTCTCCCATTCTATCATTTTCTTTGCAAGGAAAAAAATAGAATAAGTATCAAAAAGTCTTAGAGATAAAGTCGTCTTTTAAGTTTATATATATATATATATATCATTATATGTATAGCATAAAAACGAAACACCACAGAGCAGACAAACCCCACAGTATATTTGTCAGAGACTGAACGGCCGTGATTTTTCCCCGTGGCTTGAAAACTTGGGGGGCGAACGGTCGATTACGGGTTAATCGGTTACGGTTATTTCGGGTTCGGTTATTTCGGGTTATTAAAATTCATAACCAAACGGTTAATTAATTTTATTCGGTTCGGTTCGGTTTCGGTTATTTCGAGTTTTAAAAAATCTTAACCAAACGGTTATTTAATTTTATTCGGTTCGGTTCGGATATATATCGACCGATTCGGTTAATAACCGAAATACCTGAACCGAATGCCCATCCCTGTTGAAAACCATATTTATATGTACAAAATAATTTGGAAAACTAAATAGATATACACATTTAAACGGATGGATTATTCTATCTAGTTGATTCAATGAGCAAAATTCATTTCAATCCAATTTCGGATCCTTATTTAAAAAAAGGATATTCACATCAATTTTTTAATTTTCTGGAATATATAATCGAGACAAAATCCGGCGAATGTTCAAATTATAAAAAAAAAAAACATCAGATTATTCTTAAAAGACGCATTAAAAAGGGGGAAACATGCACATCCTAATATATTTTTTGGCAATAATATTGGATTCAAAAGTCATTTTCTCTACCAGCATTTATTAGACTTGAGCCTTTAATGTTTAGTTGCTGGCAAATATTAATTCTAAATAAAGGCTACTCTTTCAATATACTAAATATGATAATCGCTCGTAAAAGCCCGACAATAACAATCGCATCGTTGGCTTTTCTTTTTGTAAGAAAAAGAAAACAAAGACAGCACTAATTAACTGCAAATATATTAACTGGTAAATGCGATAATCTTTCCACAAATCTGTCGTATTTAGATTCTTAAAAAATATTACGTACCCAATGACACAAAAATTTTCGAATAATCTCTAATGATAATTCGAAATATAGATCTACGAATTTGTTGTAAGTTAAAATTTAATCATGAGAATGAGATTAAAAAAAATGATATTTTTGAATAATGCTTTGTCCTATAAATATTCAGTGTTCCTAAAAAGATCATTAAATATAAAAAAGATTAACGAACCTGACCGGCAAGGGTACCACAAAGAGCAAAGGAATACTCGAGCCATTTCGGCAGATTAAAGCTTCTGTGAGCAAGATTCCGATGATACGACAACGTAATACCGAATCCAGCAATCAGATGGATTACGACAGCGAGACGCAGAGCCGCCAAGTTGAAGTGAAACGGCGCCAAAAGGCTGAGAACATGAACCCACGCAATCTCCGATGCCCTAGTCGCGTCCCAGTAGTTCCATCTCCTTTTCCAAAACGCCCTTTTCTTTCCGTCCACGGCTACGTCGGAAAAGGGTATTCTCCGCTGATTCTCCTCCCATGGATCTCGTCTTCCGTCGCCACAGATCGCGAAAATGCGTTTCGTTTGAGGGAGTATGGTCTTGGACAATGAAGGGTTCCGGTCGGAGATTGAGTAGGGTTTAGAGTGGAACAGGGGGTTAGGGTTAGGGTTTAGTCGTGGCCGAGATTGGAGAAGCGGTGAAGAAGAGAGGGACCTTGCTTGGAGTGTTATGGAGAGAGAAGCCATGGCTGCGGATAGAGTAAGCTCGATGGCGGAGTGTAGTGAGAGACACGTTTTGATTCATGATTATATTGTGTCACTCTGTTTTGTCAAAAAAAAAAAAAGGAAAACAAAAAGGATACCAATACATATATATGATTAGAATTTTACTGTTTTGAAGTACAAAATCTCGTAAAAAGTTATATATCTAAATATTATAATTACAAAAAAAATTCACACAACCATTTTTTACTCCACATAAATTCATAAATTATTTAACATTTTTGTATACGTATGAATAAATATATATTTTAAAATGTTATCAATTATTATGAAATTTATTTTTAAATAATAACAACAGAAATAATAATATACAATATATTATCTAAAATTTTAAAGTATAATTATAAAAAAAATTCACACAACCATTTTTTTAATGGTAAGTGACAAAGTATATCAAAATAAAAATGAAATTCGTAAAATATTTTATAAAAAAACAATTTTTGTAAGCTATACTTTTTTCAGAATACCTAAAATATCATTTCCGCCAATTATGAAATTTTATAATTATCTGAATTAAATCTAAATAAATTATATAATGTTTACTTCCTTTCTAAATAATTATTAGCACTATTCTTACATTTTCACTGTTTTACTGTTTTCCAATTTTTTCTCTATTTTAACGGTGTCTTAGAATTCAAAACCCCAAATTTTTCGTATGGAGCACATGTTGGGCATTGGACCAAGATGTAATATGCTTGTAACAAAACTTATATCAAGTGCTTTAACAAAAAAAAAATATTATATCAAGTAAGATTTTTTCTACCAATTGTCTTGAGAGAGAAAGTAAGACTATGAATAATAAAAAAAATACATGTTTTGGTTTTTTTAACTGTTATTCACGGACACGAATCCTCGAATATAAGATTTAAAATCAAAATCCATAATTGTTTGTTTTTTTTTTAATTTTCACCATACAGATGGCATGGGTCATGGATAGGGGTTGCTTCCGTGAAAAGTCGCATTCATGGCTGAGGGTTAAGAAAACAGGTTTTGCTGGAACCACATGTACACGTGGACATGGCTCAGCCACAACTCAGAAGAGTAATAATACGAAACCAATTTGAAAAGAAAAATAAAAATAGAGACGAATAATGCATACGACTGGTCACATCGGGCTCAAGCTTTATATACATGTAGTTTATATATTGTCCAAAGGTCTCATACTTCTCATATCAATTTAATTTAAAAAAAAAAAAGTTAAAACCTCTAAAAAAACCTCTAACTTGCAAAAATATATACAAATAAACCTTCAACTTGAAAAACTATCATTCAATCTCTGAACTTGTAACTTGTCACTGAATAAAACCTCGAACTTACAAATTATTGCTCTAATAAACCTTTGACCGGTTTGACCACAATTTCAGAAGATTGAAAATCCACGTATTAACGGATTGCTGATATCACCTTATATACGTTATCAATTTTAATTTAAAAATGACATCAGCAATCCGTCAAAATATGGATTTCTGATCATTTGAAATTGTGGTCAAACCGGTCAAAGATTTATTAGAACAATAATTTGCAAGTTCGGGTTTTATTCAGTGACAAGTTACAAGTTCGAAGATTGAATGACAGTTTTTCAAGTTGAAGGTTTATTTGTATATATTTTTACAAGTTTGAGGTTTTTTAGGTGTTTTACCCTAAAAAAATTATGGATGTTAAACGTATAAAACTCCGTCAAATATTTAACTTCTGTTAATTTAAAGTCGGTTTTAGTTTTTTTTTTATTAATTTTATGTTAAAATGATGTGAAAAGCCTAGAACTAAAAAATAATTATGCATATTTCCTTTAAATCTCAGTGCATGTATAAATATATAATTTTTTCATATGTTTATTTTGGTATTTTAAAATAATTTGTGGATAATGAAATAACTTTTTCACATACTGAATACTTTATATTCTTCCATGTGCAAGACATGCATGTTAGAGTTAAGGGAAAACATCTTCCATAGCTCTTTATTTCCCCTTTGTTTGTTGCAAAGAACGGATCTACGGTGTCCGGAGTTACATTTTTTTTTATACATGGGAGAATCTATCTACAATCTTTCGGATCTGACACCGGACACTGTAACGTCTGAGTTACATATTTAGAGGTAATAAAAATAGAAATAGATGTTTAATCAAAATAAAAAAGGTTAGATATAGAGTATGGGGAAAAAATATTACATTATAAAGGCAAAGACATCTTCGTCCCCATGTTAGACGAGAAATAGAGATGATCATTTCAGATTTCGGTTAAGTTATACTCGAATTTGGTTATATTGATTATAAAAAAATTTAGTTGTCTAAAAATCAAATTAATCTTAAAAAAATTATTTTAAATATAAGTTTTTAAGCCAAATTGAAAATAACAAATGAAAATAAAAATTGTGTTTAAAATACACGTTGTCTAATAAAAATTGAATCTGTATGGGAATAAAATCTAAATCGAATTTAAATTCAAGTTGAAATTAATACAAATTTGTCTCAAACAAAGAAAAAGGAGTAATAATATGTGGGCTAAGAAGTTTAGATCACATAAGTCTAGTTTCACTTTTCATTAATTTGGTAAAATAACAAAAATAACTTTAAAAATGACAAGAGCAACAGCCATAACCTTAGAATCTCTAGGGTTTCCCAAAAAACCAATATTTTTAATAAAATTACGGAAATACCAGAACAACTAGTATGACCAAAATTTGAGGTATGACCAATTCAAACGGTATAACCAGTCTGACTAAATTTCTGTTAGTCTGACTAAATTTCTGTTAGTTTGACAATTTACATTTGGTATCAGAACCAGACAACGATTATGGATAACGAAAAAATTGATTTTTCGAAAGGATTACCATTAATATTAACCAATGAGGACGAATGTTATCATGGATTTCCTTATAAAGGAAATGTGATAACAATACCTAAAAATCTTCATAATCAAAGCCGATATTATATTGGTACCATCTTTGATGATGATACTAATCATAATCTCGGAAATAAAATAAAGAAAATAGGTTTTACCCTAAATAATATTGTTGAAATGATTTCTTATGGAATCATACATCAAAATCCAGAAAATCACGAAGAATTAAAAAGAAATATTGAGAATATAAAATCAGATTTAGAAAATCAGCTACAAAAATTAATAAAAATATTCGAACAAAACCATGAAAAACAAGATGAAACTAAAAATATAAACAAAAAATTAGAAGAAATAATATATCTACAAGAAAAAAGCATTAAAGAAATGAAACAAAACTCTGAAGAATTAAAAGAATATATTAAAACAATAATAGGATGACAAAAACTATGAAGGAAACTATAGAAAAACTAATTAAAGAAAATATTGTTGAAATAAAAGAATTACTACTAAATATAAAAGAAATACTCACGACAACAAATAATTACAGTTATAATAACATAAAAATTCAAATAATAAAAGAACTTAACGAAGCTAAAGAATTAGTAAAAAATATTATTACAAAAAATGAAGGAAAAGAAATAATAAATCCAGACGAAGATGAAAAACCAAAAATTCTAGAAATAATAGAACAATTACAAGAAATAATCGAACGACTTAATCAAAATAAATATATCACTATAAAAGACTTACAAAGTTATTTTAAAAAAGAAACAAAAGAATTAATTATTATCGATAAATCTAATTTTTCGAATTAGATCACCACCAAAAATATAATGGAAGGACTAGATGATCAGATAGAAAGATTATCAACATTATTAGCGGCTCTTAATATACCCGAAGAAGAGCAACCTGATGAAACTGAAAAAATTGTCTTAGACTATAGCAGCGATGAAAATCCCTACGAAAATCCATATAATAACTCATTCCTAGTAAAAACCGAACTAGAAAGGGGGGAGAATAGTAATAATAATACATTACCTAAAAAACGAACACATGATGAATATCAAGGATATAAAAATCATGAATATGAACTATACCAAAATCAATATATTCCGAAAGGGAACAATTGGAGAAAAGTTTCTTTCGAATATATTCCAAAATATGATACATTTAATATAAAATCCTCAGAAATATTAAATTTAGATTGCGAAATTAATCCAACTAGAACACTAGAAGATTGGAAAAATCGTACAAGTTTGTTAATACAAACTAATAAGGAATTAAGAGAATTACATCCTCACGAAATGTTAAGCTACTTAGAACATAAAACAACGGGAATAGTATACAACTACTTAATAGGATTATCAACAGGAATAAAAGCAGAAAAAATTCTAAGATCAACTGCATGGGAAACATTTGTTAGGCTAATTGACGTAATAGGAGAAAAATTCCTTGGAAGAACTTCTAACGCACAATTAAGAGAAACACAAATATCAGAAGTAGCACTATGGGAAATAGTAAATCTTAGAATTTGTAACATGTGCTATCTTGAAGCATTCATTTGCAAATTTAGAGATCATTACTATCAACTAGCGACAGATAAGAAAATAGTAGCCGAAGAATTATTCTTTGATAAATTACCGCTATCAATATCAGAAGAAGTAAAAACTATATTTCAAAATAAAGTAAACGAGGGACAAACCCCCAATACTTTGGGAGGAAGAATAACAACCTTAAAAGATTGGCACTTATTTCAATGCAACCAAGAAAAACGAAAACAAGAGGCAAAAATCGATAAATTATGTTGTGGTGCAATACCAGGAAAAATAGGCAAATATGGTTGCGAACCTATTCGCCAAAAACATAAGAAAAAGAAATGGAGAAAAATTCCATATAAAAAATACAAGAAACAAAAATATATACCACAAAAATATTTCAGGAATAGAAAACAATACAAAAAGAAAAACTATGGTAAGAATGACACATACTGCCCTTCTAAGAAAAAGAATTGTAAATGTTGGCTATGCCAAGAGGAGGGACATTATGCAAATGAATGTCCTAAAAAAAGAAAGAAAAAAGAAACAGAAATACTACGAATAGCATACGATATGGGCTTTGAACCAATCGAATCAGATTCAGAGTTTGACTCTGACATCGAAATATATGCATATACCACTGAATCATCCGATTCAGAAA